GAACTGACTTGACAGCCGTGGATTTGGGTTGGTTTGGGTAAGGCAGAACCAACCACGTAAAAGCTGTGTAACAACACTGATGTCAGACCAAACGGCACCTAAGGCTGAGCACGGAAGTGGGATTAAAAGGAGCGAGGACAACGAGACCTTGTTCCCTTGGACGAGACCTTGTTCCCTTGGACTTGTTGTTAGGAGGAACCAGTCCCTGGAGAGCACACCGTGCCTCTAGAGCAGAGGGTCGGTGAGGAAGGGAAGGCCTCCATGAGGCGGACCGACATGGGCTGCAGGACTGGGCCGGCACAGGCCCGGGCGGGGTTGTTCTGTCGTCCACGGGGTCACTGTGAGGGGGACCGACTCAATGGCTCCTAACCACCACCTCCACCACCATGTGGAGACAGGACACCTGCTCCTGAGAGGGCTTCGTGACTGTAGCTTTAGGGGCCCCAACAGCACGGCTCCACCCCTGTGAAGCCCAGGAGGAGATCCATGTGGACAGGGAGCTCCCACACAGTGATGGGCTGGGCCTCACTGTTTGGGACCTCCCCTCAGGAGCTTAGGACCACCTGCCACACCCCAGAGACAAACCTCCATGACTCATCTCCCAGCCACGGCCTCTGGAGGCCAGTTCAGGGTTTAAGCCTCTCTGGAGACTTGAAACCACAGTCCTGGGTGATGCCCAGAAGGGGACAGGCTCAGTGGCAACCTGGGCACGTTAACCTGGGCCGCAGCACAAGGACCCGCAGCTCTGTTGGTGCAGCTGCGGCTGCGGTGTGTTGAGGGGGCAGCGTTTAAATGCAGGTGAGGAATGAAGACAGTGAACAGCCAAGACGCTGTACAGTAACCGGAGGGTCCCTGGGAGTGGGGTGGACCCGACAGCCCCTGACACTGTCACCGTCATCGCACAGTGACAGTGCCTGCTCCCGAGAGGAGCCAGAGACGCTCAGATCAGTAAAGGAGCACTGACTCGAACAGTGCAAACTGATTCTCCTCAGATGAATGAGACAGAACTCGTATCAAGACTGACCGATAAAACAGAAGATTCAGGTTTAACATCAGGACAAGCACTGAACCTGGTATAGATGTAACCAAGGCCACAGCGTTGAGTTGGTCCTGACGCATAGCTACTCTGCGGGACAGAGTGGAACTGCCCACAGGGTCTCCAAGGCTGTCAGTC